GGGAGGAAAAGATAGGAGAGACGGCAGGCAGCTGCATGCTGCAGGTCACTCTAGAGCATCCCGAGTTTAATGTTAACTTCCGTTTCATGGACATATAGACAGAGGTCAAAGAACGGGCTCTATCTGGCGTGATACGATAGTTCTCGGGGGGAAATAGACCGTTTTTCCTGTAATTCCATATGTAATTGAAAGTAAATTTTCACCATAATTTGAAATGTCGATAGTGAACCCTCTCTAACTTCAATAAATTTCTTATAAATGAGAATTAAGAAAACAATAAAATTTCGAAAGTTTTTTGCAAATATTAATATTGTTTCATTATAAATCTTCATTCTAATTTCTAAGTCATACAATAGCCAAAAGTGTGGTTAAAAAACCTCGAATTTATACATGTGTTTAACAAATGTAAAACGGAAACATCGAATTTTAAAACTTTGAAAAATTATTTGGGGAAAAATAATTAATTTTCATTTCAAATAGGTGTTGGAGCTCCAAAAATTGGAAGAAGCACGAGGCTCAAGCGACACCGTTTTGGATTATAGAAACAGCGTCGAAGGAGACAGCGGCGAAACCGCAGACGCAGTGTCTAATTCCTCCGCGATCGCGTTTCACAGACCAACATCACCCGCGCCGGAGCAGAAGCTCACACTCTTCGCTCTCCGCCTCGCAATCATAGAGAAAATCGCCACTAATCTCGGAACCCTAGGTTTCATTTGGGCCACGGTGGTTCTTCTCGGCGGATTCGCGATCACACTCGAAAAATCCGATTTTTGGTTCATCACCATCATTCTCCTCATCGAAGGCACTCGAATCTTCAGCAGAAGCCACGAGCTCGAGTGGCAGCACCATGCCACGTGGACTGTATCCGGCGTCGGAATCAGTAGCTTCCGCGTGATCCAATCAAGCTCAATTTCACTTCTCAGAAATCTTAAACGAATCAGGTTACGATACTCTCTTCTCTCTTGCTTAATCGAATTGGAATCGATTCAATTTAGGGTTAACATTTGAGTTTCTCTGCAGCGAAGGGATCTTTAAGCCGATCCTCGATAATGGATTGAGAGAAGCGACGACGAGAATCGGACGACAAGAGACCTTTGATCGTCAAACAACTCTGACATGGAAGAACTCAGAAGTTCCTCTTCTTCCATATGCGAGATGGCTTTACATCTCCAGCTACGTGAGCCGGCTTCTCTACTGGCTCCAGCTTTTGTCAGCGAGTGCTTGTGTGGCTCTGTCTTCTTACAAGCTCGTAATGCACAACTACGGAGATGTTCAAGATGGAGACTTGGACAAAAGGAACAGACAAGCCGCTCTCAGCATCTTCTACTCGCTTGCGCTTGCCGAGGCGTTGTTGTTTCTTGCGGAGAAAGCTTACTGGGAGTGGGAGGTCAGTGTGTGTAATTTGCTTGAGAATGTGACTAGAGAGTGTGGGTTTGGAGTTAGTGGAATGGTCTCTATCAAGAGATTCTTCTATGATGCTTACTCGAAGTCTGTCAATGGGAGTATCTTTGATGGTGTGAAGATGGATATGGTGAGCTTTGCTATGGATCTCTTGGGCTCAAACTGCTCCGATGAACAGCTCATCGGAGTGAGGATTCTCAGGCAGTTTGCTGTAAATGAGCGGTTCGCAGAGGATACACTTGAGAAGATCGGAATCAACTTACCTGTCATTGAAAGGTTTGTTCTTTACAAAGTTACGATGCTAGATTTGTAGAGAACTTAATCATATTGAGATTGCAGAAACAGAAACAAAGCTGATCTTATTCTTTCTATAAATGTGCTGTGGTACATATATCTAATCCTTTTTCATAAAATATCGATTTGTTTTTTGTTCTTGTCCAGGTTGGTGGAGATGTTGAACTGGAAAGATCTGCAAGAAGAAGAGATTAGAAGATCAGCGGCTGAGATACTCTCAAAACTCGCTGGCAAAAAGCAGAACTCTCTCAGAGTTGCCGGAATCTCTGGTGCGATGGAGTCGATTTCATCACTGTTACAGAACACAAGATCTTTAGGGGAAGCTCCTGACGAGATTGGAGAGAAGAAAATCTTCCACGACCATCATCTACACTACGATTTCTGGAGGTTCAACAATTTGGGCCTCTTGATTCTAAAGAAATTATCCAGAGATCATGACAACTGTGGGAAAATCGGCAACACGAGAGGGCTTCTCCCTAAGATCATTGACTTTACACACACAGACGCAACACTCTTGAAGGATGAGAACGCAGATATGGTTCTGTCACAAGTCCTGACAGTGAAACGGTCGCTGCAGCTAGTGAAAATGTTAGTAAGCACAAGCGGCAACACCGGGAAATGTCTCAGGAGGGAGATCTCAGAAATTGTCTTCACAGTCAGTAACTTGAGAGACGTATTGCGCCATGGAGTGAGATACCCAAAATTGCAGAAACTCGGGATCGAGATTCTGAGCTTCCTCGCGCTTGAGACTGATGCGCGGGAGAGAATTGGCGTTACCTGGAGGTGTCTTGAAAGAGCTGTTCACCATCTTCTTGAAAAGAAAAACCACATGGAGATGAGAGTGAAAACCGGGTCAGAATCGCTGCAGGTGAAGCTATAGGGATGCTTGCTTTGGAGAGCAGAAGCAACTGCATCCAAATTCTAAAGCTCGGAGTCTTTGGAAGACTCGTGGATGCACTTGAAGTTCCTTTGATCCGTGTCAATGCAGCGAGAGTGTTGAGAAACTTGTGCATATATTCTGGACATGAAAGCTTTCTCGACCTGAGATTCATTAAAACAGCAGCGCCTACGGTGAGTATGTCTGTCTGTCGGTACAAATATGCCCTGAACCCTCCCAAAAGATTAAAACTTCTTCTGTTTTCTTGCAGGTGTTGAAGTCAATAACATCAGGTGACAACAAATTACTGGAGGTGATGCTAGGATTAGCAGCACAAGTGTTTAAATTCATGAGTTCAGAAGAAGCAAATATTGTTCTGACGGATTCAGGGATCAAAAAGCTAGAACTTGCGAACACACTGGTATCGATTCTGAAAAAGCATGACAAGCCAGCAATCAAGGTTCCAAGAATCAGGAGGTTTGTGATAGAGCTTGCGATATGGATGATGGAAGATGATGTGGAGAACGTTGGGATGTTCAAAGATTTGGGTATGGAGAAAGAGCTCGTGAAGGTTCTGGAAACAACGGCTGAGCTTGAGAACTTCGATGTTTTCTCTGGCACGGTTGGAGTGAGCCGACAGAGCAGAACGGTTCATTGGTTAGCTGAACTGGCTTTAAAAATGCTTGAGGATGAACAATCATAAGTTTTCATCTTCCTCTTGAGAAACTTAGAGCTCTCTGCTTCAAAGTTTTAACTAATACCTAATTATTTTGTAAGAAAAGTGTGCTAATCATGAAATATATCGTTTAATTTTACAATCATTTAAAAAGTTTCTCAAAGTTCAAATTAGAGATAGATCTCAAATTCCATCCGTATATACATATACCTTGTAAAGAAAGATACACTTCTCTCGTAATAGTGCTCTTCGTTAAAAACCATTGTTCAATGTTCTCGCAATTGTGCAATTTCTCAGATTCAAACAGAGTTTATAATCCTAACAATGCCGAAAACTACTAGAGGGATGAAGTGATACAAGAGAAGTCATGTCCACAGAAGACAAGTTAATTAAACATACGAATAGTTCAGCATCAATCAGATGATTTAAGGACAATGTTTCTTATAACCTCAAGAAGAGTCATTCTCACTCGCATCACTTATCTCTTCCACTGGCATGGGTGTTACGTCAACAACGCTATCACCAGAATCATTGTCACCTTCTGTATCATCAGAGTTCTCTTCCACTGGCATGGGTGTTACGTCAACAAGGCTACCAAGAGAATCGTTGTCACTTTCTGTCTCATCAGAGATCTCTTCAACTTGAATGACTGCTCGTGTCTCTTTGCATTCTCCGCGACCATAGATACTAACTTCATAACTTTTGTGCCCATCAAACACAAACGTCAAGAACTCTCCATCTTTTAGATCGTTATCCGCCACAAAATTTCCCCAGCCTTGTTCAAAATACACTTGCTCTCGCTTGCTCATCATTGCTACTTTCCAAAATCTTCCACCAGTTCCCGTGAGAATCGCTGTTTTGGGCAACCAACGCGGTAAATGTTCGTAGTAAACCCTTGGTATCAGCTTCTCAACACAAAAAAATGTAACACAAGTTAAAACTGTAGAAATGAATGAGAAGGAAAACAACATAAACGAGAGGCTTTTTCTGCAGCTATGGGCAAATTTTTCCATCTAGGGATTTGTATATGATTCTTGTTTAAAGCAAAACCTCTGTTTTTAATTTGAATCTTACACATTGGAGAAAACTTGAGAAATTCAACTCTATAGTACCTAAGTTGGTGAAAAACTTGAAATCTTTAAACATTTAAAAGAGAGGTAAAACATACGAGTGTTGTTGTTTCAGAGGTAAATTACTCACACCAAGACTTAACATATAAAGCCAATAGATTTTTCCTAGAAACCAACTCAGCCACTTAACCTAATTTTTTCAGAGACAAACTAAAAATCAAGAGAAAAGTCTTACCAAAGAGTTGGAACTGACATTGGAAAGAAAGACAGTGTAGAAACGAGGAAGTACATCACCGGAAGCCATGGAAGTTGCAGGAACCCTGTGTGTGTGTATGAGGAAAGAGATAGAGCAGACGAATTATGTAAAGTATGAAAGGTATAATTTTTAAGAGAAACTGAGAAAAAAGAGAAGAAATTATTACCAAGAAGTTGAGCTAATCTAGACGAAAAGTGTCAATAAGAAGAAAGAACAAGTCCAGAGACTGAATCAGGATTTGGATCACCGGAGAAAATTAACTTGAGTGAGAGAGTGAGTGAGACATAGAGAGTATAGAGAGGTGAGGTGGTGTTGGACTGTTGGGTTAATTCATCTTTACTTTATTTACCATTTGACCCCAATTAATTTTCAAAACAACCCCATAAGTTTTACTATATTACAGTCAATGATAGCAGTAAATGAAAGGATGACTCAATGACACCAAAGTGGAAAAACCATCTCCTCTTCTGTACTTCAAATCTCTCTGCACTCTTTTGTCCAATCTTTTCTTTAACTTTTTTTGGGGGGGGGGGGGGGGGGGGAATATTCAACTTTTGTTTTTTTTGTTTAAGGGTTTTCATAAATAAAAGGAAAAATCATTGCTAGCTACACGAACTATACGCCAACACATCACCACACATGCAGACTATTTTAATATCTTGCTAACTATACGAACTACTAGTATTACATACGGACACCCCTGAACTATCATCGGTTATGTGTGCAACACCATAACTATCATTTTCAGATAATATAAATGTCTTGTTAACTACACGAAGTATTTCTTTTTTTTGTCAACTACACGATGTATTTTCTATCAATTTTTTTTTTAAAAGTAATTAAAAAATAAAAAAAATAACTAAAAAGTAAATATTACGCTATTATAAATTTTATATATATATATATTATAACTTTTAATGCATTATAATTTTAAGTTAAATTAATTTAACTAATTTAATATTTATTATATTAAATTGTTAAAATTTTTATAAATGTATTGTTAACTACACGAAATATTTCCATCATTTTTTAAAAACTAAATTACAAAATGAAAAAATAACTAAAAGTAAATAATACACTATTGTTAATTATATATATGCATTATAACTTTTAAAGTTTAAATTCTACATATTGTGGATGTAGGATTCACACTCGGTTATCTTTAAGTATTTTTGTGGAGAAAAACTCTTGTAAAATCAGGAAATGAATATGAGAATTTGAAAGGGAAATCAACCAAGAAAAGAAATGAAGAAAAATTGATAAAGACGAAGTACAAAATGCCTTGCGAAAGATAGTAAAGAGAGAAAAATATATTGTATTGCTCAGAAGTAATGAATAGTCAGTCGCCTCTCCCCTCAAACACATGCGTTTGAGGTTGTTTTTATAGAGAAAAACATGATTAATGCGGTCATTTACTGCTCATAATCGCATTGATCCGCATTAATCATATAAGTTACATTTTGACCGAAACGACTTGAATTTGAACTATCTTGGACTTCGCGCGGATCTTCCGAACTCTTTCTTGTTGACTCCGAACTCCCGCGTCTTGACACTGCCGCGAACCTCGAACAATATTCTCCTCGCTTCGGCCTTTCTCTATGCGAACTGTATGTTGAATAAGAGCGAACTCCGTACTGGTAAAGATCGAACTCTTTTAGTAAACCGAATCGAACTCCCGACTGGTCAAGCTTGATTCTCATAATAAAATATATTTAACTCCAAGAGGATTATTATGTAATAATGACGTGGACAGATCCAAGTGGATCCTACCAAAAATGTGTGGGATCCGACCCCAACACATGCAGTATCCCTTATAATTTTAAGTTAAATTAATTAACTATTTTTTAATGCACACATATATTTTATATGAAATTAATTTAACTAAATTTTTAAAAGTGTCACTTAATTAAATTATAATTTACATTGATATATGTGTGCATTATAATTTAAATTGATATATTATATAGTTTTATTTAACTTATTAGTTTTAAAAAAAAAATTGATGAAAATACTTCGTGTAGTTGACAAAAAAAGAAAATACTTCGTGTAGTTAACAAGACATTTATATTATTTGGAAATAATGGTTATGGTGTTGCACACATAACCGATGATAGTTCAGAGATGTCCGTATGTAATACCAATAGTTTGTGTAGTTAGCGAAACATTAAAATAGTCTGTATGTGTGGTGATGTGTTGGCGTATAATTCGTGTAGTTAGCAATGATTTTTCCTAAATAAAAACAGTATTATAAAGGAGAGAAAGCCAGCTTAATTATAAGCTTGAGGGAATATTCAAGTTTGTAGTTAATGAAAGTCTTATTCATGGAAGTATCATTTTTATGTAGTTTAAAGTTTTTGTAGGATTTCTGGTTTTTAAAAGGCTTATCTATAAGCCATTTAATTAATAATCAGAGTTAAACATTCTCCACGTAAAGAGCTTATTTACTTTTTATTTTATTTTTATATATACATACGGTATAACGAGATCATGGTGCAGGATCCAAAAATCCAAAATTTGTTTACAAATTATAATATCTTCAATTATTTTTTATATAAAAAAATAAATAAACAAACAAATCACAACAAACTTTTAAATCTTTTACGTGATTTGAGATTTTGGGAAATGAAATGATAATATTATGCGTATCAGATCGATCCAAAACCAATTTGACATGTAAACTAAATCATGAAAATATAGAATTTCAGAAAAAATTGTGGATTCCTCCTATATTAATCAATACTGCTTGTTCGATACAAAGCCTATACTCTCAAAAAAAAAAAAAAAAAAAAAAACCTAAGCTCTTGAAGATCGATCATTCAACAACAACACGATGGTTATGGTTAGAGTTAGAGATCATCGATTTCTTAATCTCAAGCTGTCTCCTATACAAGCTCCTACTACTATCCCCCCTTGCCGCCTCCCCATCGTAGCCGCTACAAAAGCCTCTGCAACAGTTTCTTCCTGCGCAAGCAACAGTTTTTCTGTAGCTAATTTGGACAGAATCAATGTTCTAGGCAGTGGAAACGGAGGAACCGTATTCAAAGTTAAAGACAAGACAACCTCAGAGATCTATGCGTTGAAGAAAGTAAAAGAAAACATGGATTCTACTTCCCCCTGCCGCGAGATCGAAATCCTTCGCGTAGTCAACTCTCCTTACGTCGTAAAGTGTCACGACATCTTCCAGAATCCTTCCGGAGAAGTATCTATTCTAATGGAATACATGGATCTTGGTACGCTCGAGTCTCTAAGCGGTGTTTCAGAGAACCAACTAGCTTTGATGGCTCGTCAGGTTTTGGAAGGGTTAAACTACTTGCACGAGCACAAGATCGTACATAGAGATATTAAGCCAGCGAACCTGCTACGTAGCTCGAAAGAAGAAGTCAAAATCACTGACTTTGGAGTGAGCAAGATCGTGGTCAAGTCTTTCAACAAGTGCAACTCGTTCGTCGGCACGTACGCCTACATGAGTCCTGAGAGACTCGATAGTGAAGCTGATGGTGTTACAGAAGAAGACAAATCAAACGTTTACGCCGGAGATATATGGAGTTTTGGGCTTACGATGCTCGAGATCTTGGTGGGTTACTACCCGATGCTTCCTCAAGGACAGAAACCAGACCAGGCCGCGATAATATGCGCCGTGTGCTTTGGAGAACCACCGAAAGCCCCTGAAGAATGCTCTATCGAGTTGAAGAGTTTCATCGACTGCTGTTTACGCAAGAAAGCGAGCGAGAGATGGACAGCTTCACAGCTTCTCAACCACCCTTTTCTTCTCCACCAAGATTAGGGTTAGGGCTATCTCCCAAGATATTGTATTTGGATAATGAAAACATTAGACTCTGAGTGATCCAAAGAGAGATCAAAAGATACACCAGGTTTGACTCAAAGATCTTGGTGTACCACTTGTAAAGGAGATGAAGATGATGACATTAGTGGATTTCCGGGAGTAAAAACTCCCGGCGAGATGTAGGATCTCCACATTGGAGATCTGAACTCGTTAAATTCTTTGTGTCGTTTACGATTTCGCAAGCTAGATCTTGATCATATATGTTACAAACGAAAAATCGAGACAGGAAGAGGGTGAAAGTAAACATGAGAGTGTACAAGATTAATGTAATAATAGAAAATAACTAGTCACAAATTTCCTATATGTTCTATCTAACTCATACCCGTTCAGGTTATGTTCCTTCCACATTAACACATGATGATAATTGATGTTTGTGATCACCTTTGGGAACCATTAGGATCAAGATTCAAATGTTGGAAAAGTAAAATTGCCCTATAACCAGACAAAAATTTGGATTGAATTTTTCAAATCAAATCAGAATAAGTTGATTTTGTATATCTTATTGAAAAATCCAAATCAATGTACATCAGCAAGTTATATCTAATAATTAATTTAAAGAGAAAATTTACAAAAGTTTATTAGCTTGAATTTGTTTTGTATAGGGAGCAAATAACTCAAACTCTTTTATAGTCGTTATCACCCGGTTTGACTATATAACCGTTTAACCGGGAAATTGGGATTGAATTAAGACAACCGAAATTAGACCCGGATCCAGTGTTACCGGGCTAAATTAAGGTGTCGGGTCATAGCAGAGAAGCTGCCAGACGCTAACGATCGAATGGATGCGATCCAGTTGCTGTGGGAAGCGATAATGAAAGCGACGAAGAAAGAAAGACGGAGAGAAGATGACGACGGCGAAGAAGCTTCACCGGAATCACTCGTCCTTCCTCCAGAGATCATTACAGAAATTCTTCTCCGATTACCAGCCAAATCGATCGGGCGATTCAGGTGCGTATCAAAGCTATTTTACTCTCTGTCTTCGGATCCAGGATTCGCGAAGAATCACCTCGATCTGATCCTTCGAAACGACGCCGTAAAATCGCTCCACCGTAAGCTCATCGTGTCTTCACATAATCTATACTCTTTAGATTTCAATTCAATCCGTGACGGAATTAGGGATTTAGCGGCTGTGGAACTCAATTATCCTCTTAAAGACGATCCAAGCATTTTCTCTGAGATGATTAGGAATTACGTGAGAGAGCATCTGTACGATGGTGGATCTGAGGTTGACGACGATGATCGTCGTGTGATGCTTAAGCTGAATGCGAAATCGTATCGAAGAAACTGGGTTGAGATCGTTGGATCTTCCAATGGTTTAGTGTGTATCTCTCCTGGTGAAGGAGCTGTTATCTTGTATAATCCAACCACCGGAGATTCCAAGAGATTACCTGAAACTTTGCGTCCCAAATCTGTAGAATACGGAAGAGATAATTTCCAAACTTATGGATTTGGTTTCGATGATCTCACTGATGATTACAAAGTGGTGAAGCTTGTTGCTACCAGTGACGATATTCTCGATGCTAGTGTCTATTCCTTGAAGGCAGACTCATGGAGACGGATCTGCAATTTGAATTATGAACACAACGATGGCTTCTACACGTCCGGTGTACATTTCAACGGTGCGATTCACTGGGTTTTCGCAGAGATTAGCCACGGCCAAAGAGTGGTCGTAGCATTTGATATTCAAACCGAGGAGTTTCGAGAGATGCCATTGCCTGTTGAAGCTGAAGATTGTCACCATAGGTTTAGCAACTTTGTGGTCGGAAGTCTCAATGGACGTCTCTGTGTGGTCAATAGTTGCTACGAGGTGCACGATGATATATGGGTGATGAGTGAGTACGGTGAAGTTAAATCATGGAGCCGAATTCGGATCAACTTGTTGTATAGGTCGATGAAACCGCTTTGTTCGACTAAGAAGGATGAAGAGGTTCTTCTAGAGCTTGATGGAGACATGGTGTTGTACAACTTTGAAACCAATGCATCGAGTAATCTGGGAATTCGCGGGGTTAAGCTTAGTGACGGATTCGAGGCAAATACATACGTAGAGAGCCTCATATCACCCAACTCTTATGGTATAGTGACCTGAGAAAGTCTGCTTTCTCTAAGAATATAATAAACCGACATTCGGATTAGCAATGTTTTAGTTCAGAAACATATAATCTAGTATTCACACTGTAATACTGCGGAATGGCAAATCGAGTGTAATTGTATTTAAATCAGTACTTGTCTATACATATGTAATGTTGTTTTAAAAATCAGTGGCTTCTATCTGGTTTATAGAGGAGCAAATAACTTATAAACTAAAAAAAAGTAACTCCGGTCTGACTATTTAACCGGGAAATTGGGATTAAAATCTTTTTGAACAACCGAAATAAACCGGGAAACATTTAGGGTTCAGATCACAGTAAAGAGTTGTGTGATTAGATCAGACGCTAACGTTTCATAAAAGCGAGAATGGAGGCGGCGAACAGAGAAAAGCAGAGAGAAAATGACGACGGCGAAGAACGGACCAACGACGAAGCTTCACCCGGATTGCTCTTCCTTCCTCATGAGATCATCACGGAAATTCTTCTTCGATTACCGACCAAATCGATCGGGCAATGCAGGTGCGTGTCGAAGCTGTTATGCTCTTTATCGCCGAGTCCAGGGTTCGTGAAGAGTCACCTCGAACGATCGAACCACCGGAAGATGATCGTGTCTACGTATAATCTATACTCGGTGGATGTGGATTGGATCGGTGACGGATGTGAAGGAAGTAGGGAATCAGTAGCGGCTGTGGAACTCAATTATCCGCTTAAAGACGACCCGAGCATGATGGATCAGATAGGAAGACATTCATATAGAAGAAGCTGGGTCGTGATCGTTGGATCTTCCAACGGTTTAGTGTGTCTCTCTCTTGGTGCTTCATATAAAAAAGTCCCAGTTTTCTTGTTTAACCCAACCACCGGAGATTCCAAGAGATTACCTGAAGCTCCTGTTGATACTCCTGTAGAATCATTTAATTTCCGAAGTTATGGATTTGGCTTCGATGATCATACTCATGATTACAAAGTGGTGAAGCTTGTTGCTACTAGTGTGTCTAATCAACATATTCTCGATGCTAGTGTCTACTCCTTGAAGGCAAACTCATGGAGACGGATCTGCATTTTGAATTATAAAGGCAGCAATGCCTTCCACACTTGCGGTGTGCATTTCAACGGTGCGATTCACTGGGTGCTCACTCGTCATGAGGACCATAGAGTAATCCTAGTCTTTGATCTTACAACCGAGGAGTTTCGAGAGATGCCATTTCCTGATGAAGCTGAGGATTGTTCCCATAAGCGTGGAGAGTTTATGGTCGGATGTCTCAATGGACGTCTGTGTGTTGTCAATCATTGCAACGGGCAGCACGATGATATATGGGTAATGAATGAGTACGGTGAAGCTAAATCATGGAGCAGAATGCGGATGAGCTTGTCGTACTGGGTGATGAGACCACAGTGTTCGACTAAGAACGATGATGAGGTTCTTCTGGACGTTGATGGAGACATGGTGTTGTACAACTTCAAGACTGATGCATCCAGGAGAATGAGTATTCGCGGGTTTAAGGTCGGTGTTGGATTCGAGGCCGATACATACGTCGAGAGCCTCATAGCACCCAGCTCTTATGGCATAGCGAGCCGAGCACGTCTGCTTGCTCTAAATGTCTGCTTTCTCTGAAAGATATAGCCAACACTCCCATTAGCGCATTGTTAACTTCAGAGAGACTATCTAGTATTCTGTCTGATATGATCGAGCTACTGAGTGATGGATGGGCTCAACTTGGCGTAGATGACTAATTGTGTTTAAGCTAAAGCCTTGTTAGGTTTATTATGTAATTAACGAATGGTCAATGAAAAATTTAAGTTTTATTTCCTCTGTAATGTTGTTGAAACAATCATGCTGCAAAAAGTTAAATACTAGAGTGAAGAAAAGAAAGAACTGTCGGATCCCAAATTTTTATGGATTTTTTCTTTGTGATAATGATTTTACATGACATCCTAAGTTTCTACTAGATTCATATGAACTTCCAAAACGTCCTGAATCTTCCAAAAATTCTAAGTTGGTAGGTTCTTCCCTTTCTTAGGATGTTTAGGAAACAAACATGAACAAGACAAGAGAACATACATGTCGGTCATTAAACCCAACTGATTTATCAATGAATACAACTGGCCACACCACATCGACAACCACCACCACCGCCTTTTCTGATGACTTAAGTTAAGGAAAGGGTTAGCAATGAATACAACTGTAACAGAGGAATAGGAACTCTTGAATAAGGCTTCATCTTCTTGTTGTTTTTCAATCTGTAACAGAGGAATAGGAACTCTTGAAGAAAATAAAGAAATCAATTGATGCTTCTCTGATTCACAGCAAACTCATTCTTAAATTTCTGATATAGATAAGAATATGTCGATTTATTTGCTAGAAAATATTCTACCTTTCCCTAGACAAAGGAGATATAGTCTCTAGTCTCTACCAAATGAAGTTGTTCCACTAAATTCAATATACCATATCTGTTACAAGAAACTGGATCAATCATTTATATGATATGAAGCACGAGCGTCATTAACAGCTAAACTATAAAGTGAATCTAATGGCAAAATGATCCAAGAGCTCAGACATAAATGAAACAATGTTATTCATAAAGAAGCAGAAAAGAGGGATAGTTTGCAGCCGATGAGGCAACAACACAACCCAAATGAGAAACTATGATGGACAAGAACAGAAAACAACCTCGCTACCACGCACGCTTTTGAAGATTTTAGATATTTTAGATTAAACTCGAGAAACAAAGAATCAGGACACATGACCTTACTTTGGTTTTCTCATCTCTGCCAACACAGTTTCTTCCCACCCTCTCGCATGATCTCATATGCAAGCTTATACTTCTCCAGAGACGATGTCCCAAACTCTATATACTTTGAAGCTGCTTCCCTCAGGCTCCAGATCATCAAGGCCTTAAGGTCCTGAGAAGTCACGCCTGACTCTACATCGCGTACAAACCCAAACTCTGCGTTCTTGGTCCAGCGATGCAGTATATACCGAGATGGGAGTTCTCGAATGTCTAAGAGATTGAAAACTTTCAAGATATGTCTGCAGAGAAGTCCTTCGTACTCAAACATTTGACAACTGCAGCTTGCATTGAGATTCGATGCACTGAATGTCACGGCGTGCTTCTCGTTCTCATTCCCACATTTCCTCACCAGAAATCTGCTGATGGCTCCCTCCTCATATGTCTTTAAACCGAGGTAATTATAAGACTGAGCAAGCTCGCTCTGGAAAATTCTGAAGATGGTGAGCGTGTACAACCTTCTGCATTGTTCTTCAACGGGTTCTTTCGTCTGCAGAAACGGCTGCAAGTTATAAGAATTGAAATCTTCTTTTCTTTCCTCTTCACGGCGCTGCTCGAGCCCTTGCTCATACCGTGAAATGAACTCCCTAAGAGACGTTAGAGAATTAAGGGAAGTGCTGTAAAACGGATCAAAGGCACCGTTTACAGGTATTCCACCAAAGAAACTGGCTCTTAGAAATGCCGGTACCCAATTCTCGCGCTTTTCATATATTTCTCTAAGCCACATGTTATCCCTAAGGCCGTATTTGTTTACAAGAGCACTCCACATGGTGTCAAACTCGACCGTTGTCTGCGACTGGTATAAACATTTCTCGTACTCATACTTGAATTCATTCGGGAACGACCTGAGATTTTCTCGTTCTTTGGACCTTATTTGCCACGCTGAGAACCGGTGATGAGTCCCAGGAAAGACTTGAGCCACAGCTTGTTGGATAGGCAAGTCTTGATCAGCTACAATAGATCTCGGACGACGGCCTGACATGGCACGAAGCCATGTCTGAAACAACCATGAGAAAGCCTCTTTAGATTCATCAGCAACTAAGGCACCCCCGAGAAGCACGGGTTGCCTATGATGATTAAAACCGATAAATGTTGCAAACGGAACAGAGTATTCTCCTTTTCTATATGAAGTATCAAAGACAACAGCATCACCAAACTGACTGCAGGCGAATCTTGACCGACTATCTGCCCAGAAAATGCTCATGCAGCTTCCATTACTATCAAGCTCGATGGCGTAAAAGAATCCCATGTCTTCTGCCTGTTTTGACTGAAAATAGTCGAGAAGCACTGGATACCATTCCTTACCTATGGTGTTTTCTCTGGTTTTACTGATGTGATTGCTGAAGTCGTTTAGTTCAATAAGATCCACAGAGTCCAACCCTCCTGTCACATCCTCTGTTATCTTTTTCATACCAGCATTCTTCTTTCCCGGTTCAAGGTCATGATTATGATCTTTATTGAGACGATCGACTATCCAACCTCCAGAATCTTGTCTTTTGATCCTCATGTAAGCTCCACAGCCCATTCTAGAAGGATGCTGAAACCCCTCTTTCGAACAAACAAATCTTCTGGAGGTGATCGATCCGTCAACCTTTGATCGAAACAGCTGACCTATCCGAACTCTAAAACCTACAACTTCTGCATACGCTTGATAAAACTGGCACGCTTCATTAGCTGAGCTGAACTCCAACCCTGCATACGGTTCAGTAGCCTTGGGCTGTGTTTGCCCATCACTCTCTTCAGCTCCTTTGAAGCGCTTAAAAGAGATCACACCAGAAGGGCATGACCTTCCTTTATCAGCCTCGTCAACAACTTTCATCTTGGGTCTATGTGGAACCGATGTGCCTAGCTTCGTGGGAGCCGGTGCTCTCTGTTGTACTGAAGGACGAGGAGTAGTCTCCTCTATATGACCTCCAAGCTCATGGTTGTGCTCTTTCTGAATCTGGTCAAGAACCCACTTCCCAGTATCTCGTCTCTGAACTCGGATAAACGCAGGACACCCGGTTCTTGAATTAAGCTGAAAACCTTCCTTTGAGCAAACAAACCTCCTAGATGAAACGGTACCATCGGTCCTGGATCTATACAACTGACCCGTCCTAACCTTAAAACCCGTCCGCGTAGCATAAGAGTTGTAGAAGTCCCTTGCTTCCTCTGGAGTATCAAACTCTAGTCCAACATAAGGTTCAACACCAGAATCTCCTTCGTCTTCAGCAATGCCATTGTTATTGATAATCCCAACCATTCCTAATGGATAAGCTTTGACAACCATGTTGTTCCCACAGTTTAAACTGGTAGGCTCAGTATCTGCACTGCATCAAAACCAAAAGTATACGACAGTTATCTACTATTCAACCAATGTCAATGATGCTAAACATTCTTCTAGGGAACAATTATGACATGTGTGTAACAACAGAGAGTACTATTGAAAATTCTGAAATGAGAAGAAATAAAATGTTGGACACAGAAACAGTAAATGCAAAACCAATACATATTGCTACTGAAAGATTATGTATCTCACACCTAAGCTTAGATCTCTAATTAGCCTCACATTCTTTCTTCTTTTATGTAACCATAAAATGCAAAAATGGAAAGCTCCTAAAGAAGAAACAATGAGAAGAGAGAATCTGAAAACTAGTGAAGTGTGCAGGTTAATCAAAACCCACATCTAAATTCAATTGAAGCTATTAAAAAAACAGAAGAAGAAATGAAAAAATTTGAGGAGAAACAAAGAAAAAAAAACTAATCGAGACACAAATCAGGAATGGATTGTCCTCCGAAGATTACCTCTCAATGTCCATAGAAGCGACCGAATCAGGAAAGCAAACGCAAAACCCGACGGAGATTGCGAGACAGCTCGGAGGCTTCAAGTTTATGTGCCGATTAGACTTCACTTATGATTCTCAATTCTTGACTCGTCACCATTCTCCTTGTAGACGTGATTGCAGCAAAGAAAATACACAATTTAGGGCTTCAAACGAAGAAGAAGATAGACAGAGATACACAGAGAGAGGGAGACAATGAGAAGAAGCAAAGCAAAAAGGCTCCTTTTTCTATTAATCCGTCAATTGACCAAATTTAAGATTTTGATGTAATAAACTAATTTCATTACCTTACAAAAGACTGTTTTTTTTTTTTTTTTATTAACTTTCCAAAGGACATACATGGTCTCAACAACTCAATTTTAAAAAAAAAAGTCACATTTTTTCCTTATAAATTTTACAGATTTTTAAAAAAGGAAACACATTTATTCTTCACCGGAAGATACAAATCGAATCGGAGGAGATCAGAATCTAGGGTTCCTCTATATGTCAATCAATCTTCTTAGGTTCGTTGCTCGAACGAGAGGAAATTGGTCGGCGGTGGAAGCTTGTCGTCGGGAATTCCACTAAACCTAACTGAATTTTTTTTTGTTCATTATACCGCAGTGGACCAACTAAACCGGCCAGAGCAGAGAGAGAAGAGCCATCATTGTTGTTGTTGCAGAGCGAGCTCGAATCTTTCCCAATGGTTCCTCGTGCTCGTCGGAGAATCCTGCAGAATTGTCATGTCTCTCTCGCCTTAATTCTAGTAAATGTTCTTGTCTTCTTGTTTTTCTGGATTGATGTAGACTGACTTCAGACAGCCACTCTCTGTAACCGGAAATCGAAACAGTGTCGCTAGTTTCTGTGTCGGAACGTTTTTGTTTGTGATAAAAAGTTTTGCGATTTTGATGATTTCTAAAGAATCTAGATTCGATTCTGTGTTTATTGTAGCGTATCAGAAAATACTAGAGATTTGAATTAAGAAGAAAAAGAATGAATTTAATCCTCCATTTTTTTTTGTACCTATGTATATTACACGCGGAATATTCTAAAGGTTTGAATCAAAGAGAGGGGAAAAAAACGAAGAAAGGAGAAAAAAAATGATGATGATAACACCATCTATCTCTTGTGATGAAACACACTCTGAGCTCAAATGCACAACAATGTGTTAACATTACACTTTTTCACTTTGTAATGAACATTTTTGGCTCTCTTTGATCTCTAAATAACCCCTGCTTTGTTTGTATCTTCTCCTCTCCTAGTAACGAGTAATGTGTTTAATGTTTGTTTTTTTTTTGCCTCTACTCTTCTAATGAATGTCTTGATGAACGGTACAGATCATACGGAGCCCATAGATGATCAACGATACAAGGCTTCCTTGAATCTAGTCTCAACCATGGCTTCCCTTTTCCGCTCCAATGAAGTAGACTTATCGGTCCCGGATGCAACGTTCTACATCTTCCTTCGAAATTATCCCCTCCGAGGCCGTGCTGGTTCCACCTATGATTAACCGCTTTTATATCACCGGCGAATATCAGCAGAAACGGAGGCAATGATCCCAAATGGTATATCCTCTTCTGCTTCTGAATTGTCATCCATTCTTCTACCTTCTGTGTATACATTCCTTTCCTCCATTTGTTTACATCCACAACCATCACCCCTGTGTTGAAATAACACGGGCGTTTTCCTTCAAGAACTTTCACCAATACCGGGTCTGACCAGAAAGTTTTTGTGAAATAATGGGTGAAGTTTGCGTGGCAGTACTCGGGAGCAGCCACCACTTTACCTTCCATCTCGACATGCCACAGCTTCTCTATGTCATCTACCACAACGAGGTCCGAATCTAAGTAGATGATCCTGTCAACGCTACTAGGAATGATATCCGCGAGGTAGATTCTCGCGTAGTTAAGAGGCTGGTCGAGGGCTTGCCTGATGGATTTCGATATTTTACTGCGGACGAGGTTTGGATCAAACTGATAAATCTTGAAGTTAAGGTAAGGAAAGGTTGATTTGATGCTGGTGAAGAGGTCGTTTTCGAAATGAGGAAGGGAGAGGAAATGAAAAGAGAGGTTTTCAGGGCAAGTGGAATGTTGAAGGAGAGACAAAACGGCAGCCATTGTGCCACGGAGGTAGTTTGTGTCGAGGGTCATGGCGATATGAATCTGATCAGCCTCACGGGTTCCGCATTGATCACCGTTTCGAAAAGCCGGGGCTTCTCTGAAAACAGGAAGAGTTGGAGCAGAAGGCTTATGAAGAATGACTCCAACACGAACCGCCATAGTGGTGGGTGTGACCAAGAGGAGGATAAAGGACAGGAGGCCTAGGAGTTGTGTATAGGAGAGGCTCCTTGAGGCCATCCTGAACCTAATTCTCAGGTAAACTCTTTTATTATTTTTTTCACTTTTTTTTTTTAATTTTTTTTAAAAAAAAGGTTTATCATTACAAATTAAAAAGATTGAATAGTTAATAGAGCCATTGTTAGGGAAAGGCTAGAATAAAGGATTTGGGGAGAGGCTTGTTTTATTAGCAGTCGAAATGTGGGGAAGAGATTGAACTTCGGACTGTTTCTCACACAAATCTTTGTCTCCAAAAAAAAATCCTTTTCCTCTGAAATAGGAACAAGACAAGTCTGTTGTCCAATGAAACCGGAGTGAATTTTTAGATTTTGTTTCTTCTTCTTTAGATTCTTAGAAACTGGTTTATGTTTTTTTTTGGAAACAAAAAATATTGCTTATTTTTAGGACAAAATTGGTCTGATCAATTTGCTTTGCTGTCATTTCTTTTTACTTGATTGCGTCGGCGAGTTTTTTTTTTTTTTTTTTTAAGTACCAAAATTAGAATACTGTAACAAACTCTCCTTTTTTTTTTTTTTTTTTTAAACCAAAATAACATTAATAAAAAACTCAAACTCCACCGATGGAGGAGAGAATACAAGATAATAGGCTAGCATTTGCTAAAGTCTCAGTTCCATAGTTTTCAGACCTTGGAACAAAATGAACAAACATAGACAAAAACATAGAACGAAAGAGATCGAAATCCGCTAATATGCCATCTAGTTCGTTTGCATGGCCACCGGTATTGGAAAGAAGAACAAGCTCCCGACAATCCGAAATACAAGCCAGCCTTGATACACCCAATGCTAAAGCCGCCATGAAAGCCGCCTTGAGAGCAAGTGCTTCCGCTACGAGAACAGAGAGCACAAAGGGTCTTGAAAAAGATCCATGGTGGATCTTTCCGTTGAGTGGGTCCTTGAAACACCAGCCCAACCCGCAGAAGATCTTGGATTGAATCCATGCTGCCTCCGAGAAGCTCAAGAACACTTCCATCTTCTGAGGTGGTGGCTGGATTAGTTGGGACTTTATGACACAGATGTTCTCTTCCGTGAAGCCTAGTCCTGCACACAAACCATCCACAACAGAAAGGACGCCAACGCTCTCTCTCGAACCTGCACTTTTCAAATCAAAACCAAAACCAGAAATAATAATTTCCAAAGGCTGTCTAACAAAGTGCCATCCCTTAGGAGACCTTACAACCATTCTAACAAGGTTTTGATCATATTTGAACACATCCTCATAATGAGGTACTTGAAACTGATAAATCCTCATACTGAGGTAATTGGGAACTAACAGAAGGCTGTTACTAGGCCTATGTAACCCATAGCAAAGGGTCACAGATACCAAACCTTCCGACGTCATGTAGATGGAAAGGAGAGCCCATGAGGGTCGGGGCTGCCCGTTGGGGAGAGAGCCGGTCTGAATCCATGTGCACACGCAGTTCATGACGAATCCAACCCACGAGATGCCTACAGCAGTCGGAGCACACGGGAAGGCAACATACCTGTCACATAAGGACACGCAAGGCTGAACCAAACCAAACCAATCCCAGGAGTTCACGGCGAAAGCGAGGAATCTGATGACGACAACAAGACTTCCAGGGGGGACAGAGGGAAGAATAGCGGTGGGGACAATCGATGGAGTTTGGACTCCGCTGCACAGAGCAGTAAACGACTGCAAGTCCCCGCCAAGACAGTCACTGGCAGAGACTTTAATGGCTGCTTGGAGTAGCGCAAAAAAAGCGGCCACCGGAGATACACACAGAGAAGAAAGATCTAACGATGGAGACGGAATAGGAGCAATGAACAAGGACGAGATGGCGGCCAGTGGTGGCTGAGCATAAGAGACACCGTACAAGACGCGAAATCGGAGATCTAGTGGATCTGGCGGTTCTGGCGGAGTCGACGGAGATGGACGCTCCGTTGGAGGTGCCGTAGGAGGCCTCAGATCGAGGAAAGAAACCGAAAGCTTCGGGAAAGGACGAGAGTGGCTCGAAAAAGACAGAGGAAAAGGAGTCATCTCAGGGAGTAGGCTCGCCGGAAGGAGGCTCACCCGAGAGATCTCACCTTCTATGCAACACCGATCAGAGAACTAAGCTGCCGGAGGAGCAACGACGATGGAAGAAACTCATCTCCTCCAAGGCTAGCGACTACCTTGGTAATCGTGTCTGGGAGAAAGTTTTAGGGCGTGAATTTCGTCGTATTATTAACAAACTCTCCTAAAATGTATTAATAATGCATGCTTTTTCATGTAGTAAAAAAAACAAATATTCTTATGTGAGTCTATCTCTAAATACAAGCTAAATGTTTCACATCTCTCTGTGTGGATACCAAATTTATTTTGGCATTTGAAGAAACTTTGACATAAATTGTCTTTTTAAGATGTTTTATATAGGAAAACAAAATATAGTTAGGTGGTTAATTATACGTCCAGAGAGTTGAATGTTGCATGGATCGGATTTTCAACATCCTAGTTGTACATCTAGTGTCTCTACAGATATCCATAATTTACTAGAAGCTTCGTTAATGTTAAACGGAAGAAGAAAGTGATCATATCCCTGATAACATCATACGATCCATCATATATATATTGGTAGTGGTAAAATCTGTAATTCCAAAAGTTAAGTAAAATAGTAAACTAACTTAAGAAAGTATATGTGTTTCAAGAAAAGAAAAATGTCTTCATGCATGGCTACCAAGACAGTCGCGTGTCAATTGGTCATTCTCATGCCTAATTATATAATTCCCTAATATTTGAAGCAGAGAAGATATCTTGATCGATTACAAAAAGTGCCTCAAATAATTTGAGTTCAAACGTATTCTTTCACCGAATAATAATAGCCATTTGCAGATAAGGACAAAAAGAAATCGAATCGAATCTTTCTGCTAGAAGATTTATTTCTCTAGTTCTTCCATGTAATTGGTCTAACCCCCCTCAATAGTTGATTCATATATACACACGAAAAAAAAGACGGTTTCACTTTCATAAACAGTGGATATATAATACATGGTCTCAACCCTTGTTTTAAAAATCGCTAGGCGCTAGTCGGGCGTTCGACATGGGCCTAGCGATTAATCGGAAAATCGGATTAAAATCGAGGATTAATCGGGGATTAGTTTTAGGGTTATTTTAATATTTTTAAAACATATTAATCTAATATTATTTTCAAAATTGCAGTAAACACATAAAAATGTATTTTTTGAGACAAATTTTTATGATTTTTATTTCAAATTTATGATTTTTATTAAAATTTGAACATAAGTTATTGTAAAACATTACAAACTCTCAATTCAAATGATTGAATAACAAAAATAAAAAGTTTTTTTATACTAGCAATCTAAAAATAATCGGGGTATGTAAGATTAGGCGGGGAATAATCGGATTAGGCGGGAAGTAATCGGATTAGGCGGAGAGTAATCGGGTGACTGATTTCTTTAAGGGATTAGTCATTAATCGAGGCGGATAGGGTGGGCCTAGCGATTAAGCGGGGAGTAATCGGGTGTAGGCGGGGATTTTTAGAACATGGGTCTCAACAGGCCAAGCCCATTAGGTCTTTTCTTTTTACCGAAACAATATTTTTATCGGGTCGAGAAAATGTTATGATACCCGACCCGTTACGGGGAGAAAATAAACGAGAAAAGTCTCGAGAAAAAGAAAAGCATCGATAATCTCAAAAAGTTTTTGGTTTGATTTGGGAATTCGTGCGCGGCTGTGGCAGAGGCCAAACCCACCCGTGTACCATCCGTCGGATCCACCAAACCAAAGTCTCATCTCTCTCTCTCTCTCTCTCTCTCTCTCTCTTCTTCTTCGTTTTCTTCTCGAACAAATTCCTCTGCTTTGGCATTTTAGGGTTTCTCAAATTTTGACGCTTTCTCTTAAAAGGGTTGACGACATAACCCTTTGGGAGAAAAAACAAAGGTTGAGGAAGACCACCAAGGAAAAAAGAAAGAAGAATTCGAACAACAACAACAACAACAACAACAAGATAAAGTTACGAATTTTCCCTCTTTGTAACCTTTGTTTCTCTTCTTCCTCTTCCTCTACTTTTTTCCATAAAGATTCTGCCTTTGGATTTCAATTTCGTCTTCCTTTTTCGATTTTGCCGCGTTTAACATGACATCTGCAAAACCCTACCCTATTGTGGACGCCATTGTTGATTCCCACGAATTTCGTTTTCCTAGAGATTGCTTGTTCTAGCCCGAGCTAGGAGCTCAAGATTTTTGAAGGAAAGTTTCGTTTTTTTTTTCTTTTTTGCGGAATCGAATCTGTTTTCTGCGTTATGGGTTGTGTTCAATGCAAATGCTGTAGCCGATATCCGTCGTCGTCATCAGATGGAGATTCTCGTGGACCTTTAGAAGCCAATGGTATTGTCAAAGGGAAAGATCAGAAACCTCTTGGATCTATTCACGTTCCTTCTCCTAATTTCGACATGGTTTACTCTGTCTTATCTCAACGAGGCTATTATCCTGATTCACCTGATAAAGAGAATCAAGACACTTACTGCATCAAAACCGAGCTTCAAGGTAACCCGAATGTTCATTTCTTCGGTGTGTTTGATGGTCACGGCGTGTTTGGTACGCAGTGTTCGAATTTTGTCAAGGAGAGGGTTGTGGAAATGTTGTCTGAAGACCCAACTCTGCTTGAGGATCCTGAGAAAGCTTACAAGTCTGCTTTTTTGAGGGTGAATGAGGAGTTACACGATAGTGAAATCGATGATTCGATGAGTGGTACTACTGCCATTACGGTTCTTGTTGTTGGGGATAAGATTTATGTTGCCAATGTAGGGGATTCGAGGGCGGTTCTTGCTGTTAAAGACAGGAATCGGATTCTAGCAGAGGATTTGTCTTATGATCAAACGCCTTTTAGGAAAGATGAATGCGAGAGGGTGAAAGCGTGTGGAGCTAGAGTGCTGAGTGTGGATCAAGTGGAAGGATTGAAAGATCCGAATATACAAACATGGGCAAACGAAGAGAGCGAAGGAGGTGATCCGCCGAGACTTTGGGTACAAAACGGGATGTATCCGGGAACCGCATTTACAAGGAGTGTTGGAGATTTTACAGCTGAGAGCATTGGAGTTACTGCAGAACCAGAAGTGTCAATGGTTCATCTTTCGCCTAACCATTTGTTCTTTGTTGTTGCAAGCGATGGGATTTTCGAGTTTCTTCCAAGCCAAGCTGTTGTTGATATGGTAGTAAAATACTCCTTTGAAGATCACAATATGTGTTATGTAGAATCATGTTGTTTTGGGGTTTTAATGTGATTGAAAAATGTTGTTTGCAGGTGGGGAGATACGCTGATCCGCGTGATGGATGCGCTGCAGCTGCAGCGGAATCATACAAACTGTGGTTGGAGCATGAGAATAGGACAGATGATATCACAATTATCATTGTACAGATTAAAAAGCTGTCTAATGAATGATTCACATTCCTATTTGCCCCTTTGTTTGATTCTTCTGTACTGTATGTCACAGATTCCATCTAACTATATAGCAAAGTTAAAAGTAATGCTCTCTCTTTTGTGTATGAGCTTCTTTTACCAAAGATTAAATGACGTGTTTACTACGGTATTTGCTCTTTAAACGTTGCTTGTTGCAGAGAATAAGCTCTTGATGACACAAACAAGTTCTTATGTATTTTTTTTTCTTAAATTAAAGAATGAAAACTTTATGAAAAATCCTGCCAACGTTTACAAGAAATCATCAACTATAAGTGCCTTATTCTAAGGAAAACAACAGAAAACAAAAATAATGTTTAGAAAGACATAAGACTCCCTACGTGATTGGGAAATATATGTAGCCTACGGAGAGGTTTGTTTCCAAGTCCATTGCGTCGCCTAAATTCGTTGTCCGCAATTCCTTCATATATGACTCTTCTAAAGCTGTTTCGCTGTGGATCGAAATACAGAGCATGAAACGGATTCTCCAGAGTTGTTGGTGCGTAAACAAACTCACCGGCTTCAGTCACACCCGTTAGTATTAAAAGGGTGTGCGAAATTGGATCATCTAGAGGAAAAGGTAAAGAAAATATTCTAAACGACCACTCATGGCTCTCTGCATCTTCCAAAACCCATAGTGAAATAAAGGCATCCATATTGGTTGAGTAAACAAGAGAAGCTAACTTTCCCTCGTAAGTTAAGAGGTAACCTCGGCAAAGTTTCCATGGAACTTGTATCTTGTTGAACTTTTCAGATCTGACATGGAAGCTTACTATAAAGCTATGAGCACTATCATATTTAAGAAAAGATTCATAATACAGAACCCCGTTGATGCATTGTCCATGAGTGTAAGAGTAATGTTCAAAGCTACCTTTGATGGATCTCCATGATTCTTGAGCTGATCCCAATGTAAGAACCCGAGGATGGTTGCTGTTTTTTGTCCTTGTCTTAGTATCAGGAACAAAAGGCATGCACAGAGTTTTGTATGTACCATCGATCGGGTCGTATCCTATAAATCCTGTCGCATCTCCCCAGGAGCTTTCGGCTTTAGTTAAAGTTGAGAACCACCTCATGGTTGGGTTTTGAAAGCAGTACAAGCCCTGGACTGAATTAGCGAGGGAAAAGAGACAGGTTTTGGTGTCTTCTTTGATAAGATAACTGTCCACAGGAGAAGAAGAAGAAGAAGAAGACTTGTCCGAATTCCCCTGTTGTGGCAAGGAAAAAACCACTAGGTTATTGCCTTGAACTGTGAAGATGAGAAGACAAGGACTTTGCCAGGACCTAGCTGCGAAAGAGTTGATGAAACATGGCAGGGTGGTGAGGGACGACCACAGCTTGGACACGCAGTGAGACCTCACAACAGATTTGGCAGGCAGCCTTAGAGTATCTCCAAAGTTAGATCCAGAGGAAGCGACGATGATGAACACACCCTTCTTCTCTTCACCTCTTCTTCTTCTTGTTTCTCCATCGTCAAACCATATTTTTCTCCTTCTTCCTCTCTGTTAGATTATGCGTATCTATAGGGTTTAATTAGGGTTTTAAACAAGAAATTTTTCATGTTATAATAACTGGGTATTAATTATAAATAGCGCCTTGTAACAAATGGTTTATTATTGAATAAAGTTTAGAAAAAAAAAATTATAAATAGCGCCCAAGAATGATGGGTCTCACGCGTGCTTTATTTCATCTATTCATAAAAAGCGCCTATATATATGCGCGTATCGTTCACGCGCTGAGACTGCGTCTGGAAAAACATAATGGTAAGCGAAGTACAAAACTTTTAGCAAGCTGATATGACACGTGTAGTGATTCCAGCAAATACCTACTTACGCAAAAACTGACATGCAACAACAACATTAAGTATTAACAACAAAGGGTTGAAGAAAATCAGAAGTAAATACAGAGCTTCTCGGCTATGCTATTCTGTACCAAGTTACATTTCTCCAACAATTCATCTAATCTCTCTCTCTCTCTCTTATCTATCGTCTTCTTCTCTGCAGCTTCTTTACCTTTACTTCTCCGTGATCTCTCGGTTCCATCGGCTAACTCATCATCCTCAGTTATCATCAGATCAGTCCCTCTATAAGCTTCGCTGCTCTTCTCCAAAATAGACTCGTCTATATCTCTATGATCATCGATGACCATTTCTGTCTCAACCGATTCGACAACTCTCTGGGCTTTGTGATCATATCGAGGAGACGACTTGAAGGGGCTGCAGCTGATTTGTATCATTTCATGAAGCAATGGAAGATTTGGACGATAAGATGGGTATGATGCATCTTCAGCCAAGAATTTATCTGCATAGCTTGAAGTTGACATGGTGAGATCAGACTTCAGTACGTAAGCTGAGGAAGACGATGCATCAAACAAACCCATTATCCGCCAGTTGAAGATCCTCTGGAAGATACCAATCCATCTTGGGATGATATGGTAGCGGCTTGAGTTATGGAGTTCGAGTCTAGTGTTTCTTTCTATCATCACTCCTGTTTCTTTGGTAGCTAATGAGGCTCCCATAATATTGCTTCTCTGTGATAAGTACTCAACTAAGCATCCCTCAAGCCGTTGCGTGTGGTTCTCTATCTCAGCACCAGAAGCACATCCTACGGTTAACCATGTCAAATCATCTTCAAAATACGGGAGCTTACAATTCTCTAGCACGGAACTGAGTGGTTCAACGTTCTCTGCACTGCTCCAGTCCAGGTTGGGAAGATACCGCTTCACCATTAAACGTTCTTTTCTATTATCCTCGAGCAACTTCGTCTCGTGGCAAGGCCAACCGATGGGATTTGCTTCAGCAGCAGAAGTGATGTTTCTTCGTGATGTTTCCAATGCGTCGTTGAAGGCTGATATGCAGATGTTAGGACCAACCTCCTGATCTGGCATCTGCTTAAGCAACTCCAGGGAAAAACTGAAATGGGTCAGAACCAGTTCCCGGGGTTTAACATGATGAAGATTTGGTTGCAGAGGTGAATTGCTCGCCAGCCATTTAATCCCATCTCTTAGCCGTGAATCGTTGAAAAAACGAACTTCCTGCCCCTTTTGCGACTTATTAGCAATAGAAACGATGGAAAAGCTTGCAATCTTTGACTTGTCAATATCATGGAGGCCTAGTCCCGAGACGAGATCGGTATCAGGCTCCATATGTTCCCCATTGCATGAGCTGATTACTACGAGAAGGGGAAGAACTGAACCGTTGGGTACTGATTCAAGAATGCGGTTAAGCTGTTCTCTCTGAAGATTCAAAGGGAGGCCTCCAGATGCAAGGAAAAGGACTGCACTTGCACCACATGTTGTCTCACACATATCATTCTCAGCCTCCACATCCCTAGCTACTGAGAGACAGCATGTGAAATCTATGTCAGACCCATTTGCAACCCATTTGTTCCATACCGACACACCGGGAGCTGAAAACAGCAGATTATCATCATTGAGACTATGTTCTGCATGAGGCATAAGCTTTGATGATAACCATCGACTGGCTGCTGAATGTGTAACCTGACTTGCAGAAGATGCTGTGTTTACTGATTTAGTCTGAGTACATAAGATGACCTTCCAGCATATGCATTTTGATTCTGGATTCCTTCCAACTAGTATATCAGCTATCACATCTGAAATATTCAGCCTTGACCATGATTTCTCGCGTTCTTCAAATCTCCTCTTCATGGCTTGATCAATGTTAAACTCACCACACGCCCTTGATTGCTGTGTATGAAGAGCGAACTGATATTAGACTACCAACCTCAATATTACATGCCTTTTAAGACTTTTATTGCTTCCTTGACAAAAAGACTGATGATCAGCACGTTATGAGGAAGAAAACTGAAACTTACATCAGTTTTGCTAAATCGGATAGGAGTACCCAGGGATAGTGAATTCAGTGCAGCAGTTGCTGCTAACTGTCGACGCTCCCGCAATTCACTTTGACGTGAAGACCACCGCTTCCATAATCTGCATATATTATTAGAGAAAGTTAATAACCTAAATCAATTGTCAATTTGCATGAGGAGCTGGCAAACCTTATGATCAACTTGAGTTTTGCCTTTGCCACTTCCTCATCATACTGATTTAAGATGACCCCATTCTCATCCTCATCTTCCTGGTCAATGTCATGGAAGTCCTTTTCCAAGGTACAAATCATTGCAGCTTCAGGTACGGATTCTTCCAAAGCATATTTGTTTTCTACAGTCGGAGACTCTGCAATGGTAGTTACAGGCATAATCTCCATTGGCATAGACTTCAGACTTTGTCGCAAAGCTGGTCCAGGCACATGATTCGTATGTACATCCCCTGCAAATGGAAATTTAATTTCCCCAGGAGACATACCAATGCGACCGTCATTAGGTTGTTTCTCCAAATTCGAGGATTTAGTTTGAGGAAATCTAGGGGAAACAATAGGAGAATATAGCTTCACGGGAGAATGAAATCCACCAGCTGATGTAAGGTCATTTTGTGTCTGTTGATGCACAACTGGATTTATAAAGGATGGCCCTGCTGGATTTATAACAAATGGCCTCACTGGCTTGTCCTCCTCTGGTGAGAGGGAAGTCTTGGAGTCAGCCATTTCTTTATCAAATAGACGCATTGATGTTTGTTTCTTAAGACTTCTGGCAGGCGGCATTTCCTGTTTATGGGCGGTAATACACTGTTGATTTCCGTTAGTTGTTTCTGTGATCAAGGAAGGCAATGGAGAGGGAGTAGAAACATCTTCCTCTACTGAGGGAGCAGAAACATCTTCCACTATGGTTCTTGACTTCTTCATGTGAACAAGTTTTGAGCATTTTGTTTTGTAATCCTTATCAGCATGGAGAAATAGGTCATTTTTTACCATGTATGGCTCTTCAAACACCTTTATCGAAAACCCATGGTACTCCAACAGGGCTTCTATGTCCTCTTCCTAAATTCCATTACCAGAAGAAAAATGTAAGATCTCTAAGAACTTCTCTGTGATAAACCAAGAAAGGTATAAAACCAAGTAACAGAGTGATGGAAGAAATACCTCCATCCCTATCCACTTTGACGTATCTGAAACTGGGAGACCCTGATTAATTTGGAGACCCGAGTGCAGAGAGGCAAGTGCCTGAGTTCTTAGCTGATGAAAGAATACAGTTAGATCTCAGTGAAATAATCACACATCAATATGGTAAGAATAATAGCTTTTGAACCCACATCACAAATAAGCCCTTACTTTCGAAAAATGAGCATGCATTAGACATGCTTGAAGATAGCTTGCTTTCCGTGCAAGGCGAAAGAAGGCGATGAAATTGCCAGTTCTGCAAGCTCTGTTTTGCACGACTGGTTTCAATACTTAGATCAAGTTAAAAAACTAACAGCAAACAAAAATATCCAAGGAACTACCTGGCTACATTGCGGGCAAAGAGAACTTCTGAAGTTTGCCTTATTTCTGGAGTCATATTGGCAAGATCAAGAGAAAGTTCTGAAGGTTCAACCTAACAAGAAGAATTTATTGTCGGGTTAAGAACTTAGCACACAATTCTGACCGCAAATTCACCCAGAAGGACTTACCTTATAGCCAGGATGTTTGTCGAGTTTGAGAAGGGCATAATAGCCACGAAACTCTTTTTCAGTAGGAACAGTTATTCCTTTCTTCCTGTGATCATCATACATTTGAAGCAACTCAACAGATGTCTTGTTCATCTGCTCAATATTCAGGTGTGCATCAAAACCCTCCGAAAAGCCCTCTCCTTTCGTATATTCACATAGTTCATGCATTGCAATGATGTGAAGTCTTATCTGTAACAGGAAAATCAATAGTAAGAACACACATCTAAAACAGAATATTATTTATCATCCTGTTTAATGGGATTTATATAAGATCAGAAGACACAAACCATTTGCTCCAGCAAAGTAATAGCTTCTTGGTTGAAAATATGTTGCATTCTTAGATCCATACGAATAGCTCTCATCCTATCCCATAAGAAATTGTACATGCCAAGAAAGTTTTCATTGTAAGGTCGGTCTAGCAAACTCAGCAAATATTCCATTGTATTTTGCAGGATTGGCATTGGTCGTATCAAAATTGCTTCTCGCTCCGCCGTCCTCGTATACTATTCAAAGGCAGATATATAAGTAGTCATCATGGCGAATGGGTGGTCTAGTATATCTCATCTAAGAAAGAATCTGAAATGAAAAAGGTGAGCTTACTTTCTTCACAGCAAGGGATTTGCTTGTCTGGTTCCTATCTCCATCCACACGCTCATAATGGTCCAAGTCACCCTTCCTCTCACGCTCCCCCCGTTCTGACTCTGGGAAAATGAAGAAAAAGTCCATCATTATATTTGTTCTGCGATTGCATGACTTACTAGAACTAGCCATCATTTATGGACAAAATAAATATCGTTGGTAACACAATTTTTTTTAATCAGATTATATGAACCAAAGACTATTACACTCAGTTGTCATTTTAATGCATGTCTCAGGCTTATGCTTACCAGGACACATGTCAGGGCATAATCCAATGATAAGAGAGGGCTGCTCCGAGCTTTCATAATCAGGCAAGGCATCTCCCTTCAGGGCATCCCTACTTGATTCAAGTGAATTGAATGTTTGTTTGTTGTCCAGAGGCTTCATAGTTTTATTTACAGGTGATTTAGTAAGTTGAGTATCAACAGGTCGGTCTGCAATAGGCTCCAGTTCACCCTTGAAGCGGGCCAGTCTCTTTGCCCTGGCTTGCTCTTCTCTGTAAGAAATCCACAAACTTTAGAAAACTTTAAGAACAGGTCCACAGATTAACACAAAGAGTCAATACTGTGTGATTAAAAATTTGTACCCTTCCGTACAATCTTGAGAAGGGAAAGAGTTTCGCTGGATATCCTCTTCAACTGGATATACAGGTGGAGATCTCGTCCTTTTTGTTGCAGGTGAACTGCTTGTCTTACCCGTATTATTGAAACTATTTAGAGAGGAGGGCTGCCCAGGAAATTGAGAATCTGAACTTCTTGAAAGCATATATGTCTTTGTGCCTGACGTAGGAGGAGATGTCGAAAACCTATCACAGAAACAGCATGCTTAACTAAGAGCAAGCTCAAAGGCACATCCAACCAGATAGAGAAAAGTAGATTTGTTGCAAGAGCATTATGATAAAGCTGCAAGAGAAGTAAGCATGACTTCACAGGCTAGTAGCAGAAAATTATCCATGAAACCATTTAAGTTTAAGATGACTACGCTCATAAACCGATTTGCTAACGATAAAGTTTCTTAGGATTGTAACTCTATTCTGCAATCGTGATTTCTCCTGCCATTTATACGTACACGTAGGACACAGAGTGGGTGGATAGAAAATAATAAGCTTTACAAAGTACGATGAGTTTCGTGCTGTCTACCTTTGAGAGTCATGTTGAGACAATATGGGGTCATCTCCGAGGGGTTTGTCAGAAGGTGCTATAGCCGAAGACTTTCTTCTTGTAGCTTCCTGAATTTCAGCTACTTCATGTGCATAGGGGAATGGCGAGTTTCGGGTTTGTTCTTGATGAATCAACCGATTGGGATTGCTCCTCGACCTCACGGGATTATTCTCCGCAGAAGACAGAGAGCGCCTACGAAAAAATGAGAAAAGGTTCCAGGACATAAGTTTCAAAAGTCAGTGAGAGGATAGAACAATAATCAGTATAAAAATCAAGGAGCAAAAAGACACAGGTATGGTTCAAATTACTATCCATAAAGAGTAAAGAGACCACAACATGTGAAATTTTTTATGACCTTTTTAAAAACCAATCGAAACTAACATCGAAAAGAGAGTGAGAGTCAAAAACATTATGACACTGCCAAGAGGATAAAAATCTCACATCCAAGTTTGGCTAGAAGGTGGCTGAAAACCATCTACCAAGTTCCCATTCTCAAAACCTGATACTGGCGATTGATTTCTTCTAGAAAACCCCATAGTCTGATCCGGAAGAATATCTGACCGACTGCAACAAAAATTGAGGATTTTATAGACTGAAATTAGTTACATCAAAAACCAGGATATCACTAAACACCACGGCCATGTATATGACATCTCATTCCTACCACCTAGGCCATACAACAAACTGATGAAATCTGACAGAGAAGGTACATGATGCAGAACACAGAAGGTGTACAAACTCCCACAAACGGACAGATGTTAAAAATTTAAGGATAAGATAGGGATACAAAACAGACAGAATGTTTATTTCAAAAAGATCCTGCTGGCATAAATGGCATTGATCTAAAGGAAATGGCATAAATGACCTTTTTCTTTTTGAATCTTGTGATCGACCTATCTCAACAGCATCAGTTCCCATTCTGGAAAGAATGTGAGATGTAGCAGGTGAAGACGTGGCTCGACTATGTTCACCATGATCTTTCAAGAAATTCCTTGATCCATCGTGCCCAAATTGAGGATTTAAAGCAGGCCTGTGAGGAAAAACGCAGCAGGTAAATTCAGCTAACTCATAAAGAACAATATAGCAGCTTGCTTGTTAAAGCTATAAGCCAAATTCAGCGATAATGATCTTTTTGGAGCTTCAAAGCCGCTGCCATAGTAAGCCCTTATGTATTAGGCAGAAAAACGTAATGCACTCCGCCACACTCTACTTTCTTCCTACTGCTATAATTTCAATTGCAGAAAACTGAAAGCATTTGAGATGTGTGATTAACACTGCCGCATATGACACTCTTCTTAGTTCTTAGTCAAAATATTTCACGTAGAATTTTACCTTTGAACTCCAGGAAATTGGTAAGGTCTCACAGAGGGGCTTGGACGTGGAAAAGCTTCTGAACCCCATGCTATTCCATTGAAAGGTTCTGGGCTCCTGAAAAACATAGCATTAAAGTGTTCCTATAACTTTCTCGGCGTAAAAAATAAGTGCAACATATAGAAGACTTAATCACCATTTTCACAAAAAGAATCAAAACCAAAGTAAATAGAATTTTGGTTTATCCCATCTTCAACTGTTTTGGATCAGACCTTTCCCGAAGATTCTTTACAGGCATATAAGGAGTGAAAAAAGGAAAAGAGAGTCATAATAGTAAGTTATCTAACCTTTGAATTCCACCAGGTTGGTAAGGTTGTCCTGAGGAGGGTGAGGGATTTTGAAAAGCCAACGGAGATGGTGTTCGATTAATTGGAGGACTACTGCAAGCAAAAACCATAATAATTTAGGGTAGAATCTAAAAGAAAAAGAAAAACCGAGTGTACAAGGAAAAAATAAGAATTAAATAAGTAACCAACCTAACATCATCATCAGACACATAGAACTGAAAGAGAAAAGGAATAAAACCAATCCATACAATTAAAAATGTCTAACCTTTGAACCCCACCTGGTCGGTAAGGTTTCCCTATAGAGGGTGGAGGGTTTTGAGAAGCCAAAGGAGGTGGCGCTCGCTGAACTGGAGGACCACTGCAAGCCAAAGTCACGATACACAGGTTGTAATGTAAAGGACATAGAAACTCAGCATATTTACGGGAAAAAAATCTACAACAAGTAGCACAACAGGCTCGTCCTATGGAGGCTCAGAAACAACCTAACATACTCGCATAGAAAGCAATAGAAGCTGTAGAGCTAGGTTCATCTAACCTTTGAATTCCACCTGGTCCAAAAGATTGTCCTGCTAAGGCTGAAGGGTTTTGAGAAGACGGTGGTTGAATTGGAGAATCACTACAAGGAAAATCCAAAACTCGCAGTGTTAGTATTAAAAGAAAGAGTACAATGTAAGAACGAAAAGCAAAAGTAAAGAACCAGTATCTCCTAAGGAAGGTGAAGAAAACCTTAAAAATTACATTCGCAATAAGCAACTGAACTTCAAAACAAGACTGCCTAAGTGATATAGCACACAATTTCATAGAAACTTGTCACATTCTCTTGATCCTAAACACTTCAATACAACGATAGCAAATATGTAAATTTAACAGCTCGAAAAATCTCGAGCATAATAGATCCATAGCGTGATATCAATCCTAAAAACCTCAAAAACTGGAAGGAAAGTGCGATTGTGGCATAGATATACACCCATAGAGAAATCGAAAAGCACACCTAGTGGGAGCAGAAGCACCGAACGGTGTAAACGGCGATGGCTTAGAGCTCATCGACGGACCTACGTCCTTCCCGAAAGGCCTAAACGCCATTCTCTGCGAAATTTGCTATACTTAATTATCGCTGCTACTCTTCTTCTACCTTCGTTCAATGACGGAGCAAATTGAATTTTCTGTTCCTCTCCGTCCGGCGACGATTATTTTACGTTTAGAATCAACGACGTCGTTCGAGTTCCGAATTTTATATTGGGCCTTTTAAGTAAATGTGGGCTTATTATGGGCTTTTGTCAAGGAACGAAGAATAATTGATCAACGAAGAAGAACGTGCGCATGTTGTCGCCATCCTTGTTTTAGGTAGAACATCAACTTTTCATGACCGTTGACATTTTTTTTTTTTTTTCCCTCTTTATTTTCTTTCCGGGAAAAAATAAATAAAATTATTCTCTAGTTTTCGATCTCGATCATCTGTATCCAATCAATTACTACGATTTGCTATAATGTCGATGTCTCGGCTCGGATTGTTGTTGTTCGTCGCTATATTCCTCGTCCTGCTTCAATCATCCACTTCTCTGATTAGTTCTCCAAGTTCTATTATCAACCCTTCTAAAGTCAAACAGGTTTCTGCGAAGCCCAGGTTTGATTTTCCTCTTTCTCTTGTCTATTAGTGAGAAACGAAGCAAAATCCTCAAGTAAATTTGGAAACTTTTTGTATTGATTGTTGTTTGTTTCTTCAGGGCATTTGTGTATGAAGGTTTTTTGACGGACTTGGAATGTGATCATCTAATCTCTCTTGTGAGTGCGAATTTTCGACATTTGTCTATGGGTTTGAGCTCAAATTTGGAAACTTTTTGGCTTAAATGTGCTAATTTCAGTATCTAATTTTGGTTTTTTTTGGGGAAAAGGCGAAAGAGAATCTGCAGAGATCTGCGGTTGCTGATAACGATAATGGCGAGAGTCAAGTCAGTGACGTTCGTACTAGCTCCGGCACGTTTATCTCCAAAGGAAAGGTGCAATTTTTATTTTTCTTTGTTTCGCTTCCAATTCACTACTTTGCTGATAAACTTGGAACCTTAATTGGCCACAACAGATCTCATTGAATATATTTGATTGGAATTGATTTTGATTATAATATATGAGTCATTCGACTTCAAGAACTCTGAATCTCTGATGTTGATTTCTGATACTAACGGATCTGATAAGTCGAACCCCTCAAGATCTGATGGAACTAGAAATTATGTTGAACTGTTCATTAGAGTTTGAGCTACATAGATCAAGTGTATTATGTTGATTAGTCGAGATCTTAGTAGATTGACCCAGAATTGTATTGCTTTGTGATTGTTGTTTAGTACCACTAAAAAGGTTTCAGGGATAGCTAGACATAAATTTACTTCTGTGTATATATGATGATCAATCATTGATGAATGATACTTGATGATCAATAGGAACAGATGACTCAATATGAATACAAGTTCTTATGTGAAGCTTCCTTTGTTTAATGACAGGATCCTATTGTTTCCGGTATAGAGGACAAGCTCTCAACATGGACATTCCTCCCAAAAGGTAACTTAAACAATCTGAATGGGGTTTTAATAGTGATCTCTCTGTTTCACAAGGAACCTTAACTCTTGTTGAGTTTCTTGAAAGGTTCTTTTCAGAAGATATTATTGTTTCTAAGTTCTTCACTTTGTGGTCACAGAAAACGGGGAAGACCTTCAGGTATTGAGATATGAGCCCGGTCAGAAATATGATGCTCACTTTGACTACTTCCACGACAAAGTCAACATCGCCCGTGGTGGACACCGCATAGCAACGGTTCTCTTGTATCTATCTAATGTCACAAAGGGTGGAGAAACGGTTTTCCCCGATGCACAGGTTTGTTGTTTTTCAAACAAAACCATCAGTTTCCGCTTACATGGAGAAATAGGTCTTTACTTTTTTTTTTTTTTTCTCTCTGATGAATATTTCTGCGCAGGAATATTCACGCCGCTCGCTTTCTGAGAACAAAGACGATCTTTCTGATTGTGCAAAGAAAGGAATCGCTGGTGAGCTATAAAAAAGAAGAATGACTTGTTATCTTTCCATGTTATCTCTAAGAGTGTTTGTGTTTTTGATATTGGTTGGTAATGTTGTTAGTGAAACCGAAGAAAGGGAATGCTCTGTTGTTCTTCAACCTCCAACAAGACGCAATCCCAGATCCTTTTAGCCTTCACGGAGGTTGTCCAGTGATTGAAGGAGAGAAATGGTCGGCTACAAAGTGGATCCACGTGGACTCATTCGATAAGATATTGACACATGATGGTAACTGTACGGACGTAAACGAGAGCTGTGAGAGATGGGCAGTGCTTGGAGAATGCGGAAAGAACCCAGAGTATATGGTTGGAACTCCAGAGCTCCCTGGAAATTGCAGACATAGCTGTAAAGCTTGTTAAAGACTTAAATTTCTCTTTTTCTCTGTAACATTAAAAGTTTTATTTTCTTGATCGAACTTCATTTCCTTTTTTTTTCTGATGAATTGTTGTTAAATGTATCACTGGATTCTTGTGTTTATCGAATGGGTTTCTTCGACTTGTTAAATTGAGTCTTTTTTTTACTTTTACCTTTAAATTTTACTTTAATCTCGTTAACGATAACGCGGTCAAAGAGAAAATGATGGCACAAATGGTAATAAGTGATGTATTATTTGGTTTTTCAGGGGATTTATTTACCCATCATCTCACACGGGATCACCAAATACAAAAGTCGTCGATTATTTCTGGTAGATCTAGGGTTATGGATTCCAAATTGGAGAACGCGGATGATGAAAATTCGATGATGGAGATCTCTGAGGAGAATGAATCAAGGAAGCGCAAGGCAGATGATACTTTCCCGGTGGATTCCTCCGATGTTGGCGAGAAAGAAGAACAAGTCGACGACGAAGACATAACAATAAGTGAGGAGGAGAAAATGGACGTGTCGAGCCGCGAGGAGGGCCAAGAATGGGACGTGGATAGTTTCGACGTAGGTCACCAATACACAACTAAAAAGAAGGTGGATCCAAACGATGAGGAAGCTGTCAAAATGCGTCGATACAGACTTCAGATGTATCAGACCAATGTATGTATTCTTCCATCTCTTATGTATTTCAACATATACAGGTTGAGAATTTTTGATTGAAATGTTTGTGCTTAATTAGGGTTTCAACGTGGATATGGAAAACTATCCAGGGAGAGTGGCCTACCGAGAACTTTGGGCTGTTGATCTTGATGAACCCTTTCGGTCAAGTGGTCTAACAGGGCGTGCCTACATGCAAAACTGTGTTGATTTGGCAATACAAAGATACAACAGAATCAATCAAAAGACCCTCACATGTGAGCATATTGTGAGGGCTATTATCTGTGTGGTCGACGGAATCAAATCCTACATCACCTTCATGGCCAGAGAGACTCCAGATGGAAATCTTGTCGAGTATCAAGCTAAAACTGAGAAAAAGTTCTGGCAAAAACATGCTCACGCCCTCTTTTGCAGGCCAACTCCTATACCTAAAGGTTCTTTTTGTTCCTGCTCTCTACTATAAGTATACGGTACTCTATAACTTATATAGTATTTTTCTCCAGTTATACAAGTGCCTAAGGACGAAGATTGTGATCCAATTTGTGACGGCTCCAGCCGTGACGGGTCCAGCCGCGAAAGCGACCAAGAATGGGACGTGGATAGTTTGGATGATGAATCCGATTACAAGCCCCCAGATATGCTGGCTCCCACCGACGAGGAAATTGAAAAGATGCGTCTATATAGACCTCATATGTATCGGAGCAAGGTATTTGTTATATTCTACTTCACTTTCTTTTTAGTTTAGCTCTCTTTGATTAGCAGCTTCATGAATTAATCAAGTTAAGGACTGAGATCTTGTTGATTTAGTTAGATATTGAAACTTGTTTTCAAATTTACAATTGTGTTAAGGGTTTCTACGTGGATGGAGAAAGCTACTCTGGGAAAGTGGTCTACTTCTCTCAGGTTGTTCTTGATGAACCCCTTTGGCTTACTGGGATTACAGGCCGTGAATACGTGCAAAGAATGATTGATTTATCTCTGGAAAAATACAATGAAATCAAGGTCTGGTAACTAATTATCTTCTCAACATTTATGTGATACACAATTATTTGCATATATTTGATCAACTAGTCTTTTTGATCAAATGGTAGGGATCGAGTGTGACATGTGAATCGATTGTGAGGGCTATTCTGACTAGGGTGACCGGATTCAAGATGTACATCACTTTCATGGCTAGAGAGTCTCCGGGTGGAGATCTTGTTGAATATCAAGCTAAGACGGAGAGGAAGGTTTGGCAAAAGAAAACTCATGTCATATTTTGCAGGCCAACTCCAAAATCAAAAGGTACTCTATTTGATTGATTGTAAAAGCTAACAACTAACTTATGTTTCTGATGAGCTTAGGTTAGATAGTAATAACACATGTGATGTTCATTGATACATTGTTTCATGTCATATGCTATAAGTTGGCTCCCAAGTCAATTGTTATTTGTTGGTTTTTGAGTGTGTGTAATTCAGTACCCATGTGCTAGATGTATTGACTCATCCATATGCACATTTTCCAGCTACTTAAATTTTGGATTTCCAGAAGTAGATTTTGGTCTGTGTGGCCCAAATGGACTTAGTTCTTGTGGTGATTGGTTTCTTGTGAATTTCTGAATTGCAGATTGATGTGCGTTACCAAGCTTGTGAGTAGTGATGGACAAGTAGCTAAGTCCGGGAGAGGGGTAGATAACCTATGGTTTAATTTTTTCTTGATCTTTTATCGGACCGTAAGAACGGGATAAAAGTGCTGCTTCAATCGAATTTGAGGGGGTATTAATGTTCCGAAAAAATTAACTTCGTTCAGACTTCAAGATTTCTAGTAAAATAGTATGAAATACGCTCTATGAAAATGGTATTTAATGCTGTTAATTAGTCTTCTTTTTTTCCTTCTTTCCTGACTTGGTCTCTTACAAAGTAAAATCACCGGTTCTTTGCACATGATTCTGTAATTCTGTTACCTTTGGTTTTCGGTTTAATCCTGGTTAAGTAAATGTCATTGGTCTGATTTGAATGAATTGGTTGGCAAATTTGGCTAAGCCGTGAAGCTGGCATTCGCAGCGAGTGATAGTTGCTGTATATATTGATCCGTCTGCTATGAATTTTTTTCGGTTCATGAAGTTGTGCAGCATGCCGTGTATATTTAGGTGAAATGGAGGTTAGTGAGGTTGCATCACTCCATGAATCTTCAAGAATCGCATGGTCTTCTTACGTCCAACAATATAATTGTTCTGCCTGTTTGAGCATATTTTAAAATACTTAAGAATAAATAATCTATACAATAAAATCAAAAGCGAGGACAGAGAGTATTAAATAGATTATTATAAAATAATAATAATCTATGTTTTCTTTCTGTTCAAATAATAATCGAAACTTTCACACTCTTCGGAGACTCTGGCCTGGCCCAAGATTGAAGCTCTAAAAAGGGCTTTAGGCAGATATCAATTAACAATTTTAAAAACAGTTATTGTGGTAAAGTGAAGACATTTTCCTACACCATTTTTAACATATATTCTTTTTTCTCATACGGTTCTGTACGCTTACGTATGATCATTACTTCGTCTAAATTAGAGAGAACCCCAATTTTGAAAAATGTTTTCTTCGGTCAACCGGTCCGGTAAAATCCGAGGCCGAATACGAAAAAAAAATTTGAGGCCTTTTTAATAAGTAAAAACTGCTAAAAAAAAAAATTTGTTAACTATGGGGCATTTATAATTTTTTATTTAACATTTTTTCTTAATTTTTGGACATTGTTTGCTAATTATAAGACTTTTACTAATTATGAAGCCTTCTTACTAATTATGGGTTTTTTTTTGTTAATTTTGAAGTCTATTTTACTAGTTTTGACTTTTAAAGCCTATTTTATTAATTGTGGGGGCTTAAAAAAAAAAAAAAAAAAAACCTCACAAAATGGGCCTCGGAAATTTGAGGCCTTTTGTTAAAATTTGTCCAGGGCCGGGTCCGGACAATTTGACAAAAAGTACAATAAAAACAGTTGACCCTGAAACAAAATTAAAACTTAACTATAGCTGAAAGATAGAAACCAAAACCAATATTAAAACCGGAAGATGATAACAAATTGTGCCAAACGTCTCATCTTCATTGTTATATATGTTTCGTATCATCAAAAATTGATAGAGCTATGTATCAACAATTGAAGAAGGATTTGGTCGAGCATATATGAACAAAAATTTTCAGAAATCAAGTTTAAAACTATTGTGCTTTATGTCATGTATGATATAAATTGTGTCTCATGTATGTTTTAAAAATTTTAATTTGCAACAATTATTAAATTTTCTAAAATTAAAATTGTTAATTTAATTTTATTTTTATATTAATACTTTTTGTTCTAAGAACCACAAGTTAAGAACCTACCATTGGAGACACATAAAATTTAAAACCAAAACACAATCTCTTAACTCTAAACTTTACAAATTTAATACTAAACTAATGCTAGGAGCCAATATTAGCATACCACCAATAATGTTGCTCTTAGATTGTAGGTGTAATTTCAACAGTAACGACAACGTAAGTCTTTGTTTTCTTTTCCTAAACGTAGTTGACATAGTTCTTAGTGTAGAGTCAAATGACGATGTATACCTGTGTATATATAGTGGTAGATTTACTAAATGTTGTTTACACAATTACTAAAATTTAGTTTCATATTGGATTTACGAAAATCATTTAAAAAAAAAAATACAATCATATCGGAGCACTTTGACGTTGAAAATATAGGTGTTACACTAATAGTGAGACCTTTACATGATTGAGTAGGATAAAGAAAGAAGGAAAATGAAGTTGCTTTACATCTAAACCCAAAAACTGTTGTTACTTGATATAGTAGGATAAAGAAGAAAGGAAAATGCAGTTGCTTTACATTGAAACAGAAATATGAGTTAAAGCTTTTTCAAAATGAACAGTTCTACTTTGGCCCTTCACATTCTCTCTCTTGAGGCTTCTTGTTTCTTCCAGCACGAATCAAAAATCTGTAATTCAATTCACCAATATAAAGAACAAATTAGTTCCTTTGTTATGAAGGTATAAGAAAGCTGGTGCTGCTGCATGTAACTAAACCAAAAGCTTAATTCTAGGCCAACATGTAACTGTGACCAATAATGTACAAAATTTAAACAAATTTGTAATGTTTAGAAAGTATGTTTTCGTTACATACCTCGATATGGACGTGGCCAGAATGCCATACAACTCATACCATCATCTATTATAAGCCTCCCATACCCATTCACGCCCCAAGTCTTTTCCCATGAGTTTTGTACAATGAAAAAGTCTTGTCCCTCAACAGTTCGTCCACGGCCCAAGATCATCAATGCGTGCCTACTTACAGTTTTGCCGGTACGTGGCACATCTCTAACTTTGTAAAATCCCTGAAAGCAAAGTAAAGTGGACCATGGATTTGATTTCTCCAGGACATACTCGATATAAAAAAATTCATGAATGTTAGATTGTGTTTCCCATTCTTTACTTTGTCTAATGTGAATCCATAGCATTAGTAACATGATTTGGTGAAAGTCAAAACACTAACAATATAGAACTTACCTCACGAAGTGCGGAGAATTCATCATCTATGTCAATAATGATGCCCACAGGAGATATCTCTAGTTTTGTCTGAATAAAGTTCCTATCGGCAGCTTCATTGGTATCAATTACCCACTTGATCGTTTTTATCTTGTCTCGATTTGCCTACAGCACATAAATGTAGAAAATCATATAAAAGGAAACCAAACAAAAAATCAAAGTAAGGCAGATATGGAAAATGCTTACATGGGAAGTAGTAGGAACTTTCTTTATCCCTTCCAATTCAATTACTTTGATACATCTATTCAACGTTGTAATTTCTTTATCATCATCCTCTGCCTTGATCTTTGAGACAAGATCATCAACGGAGATCCGTAAGAAACACTTGGAATCACCAATCCAAATGTTGTACATGGCTTCAATTAGACGAGCTAGAACAATTGCCCAACAAATGGCTAGGTATAAACAAGAAATACAAAGAATCAAAACAAGCAAACTTAACTAAGATATGAATATCAGAACTAGCAAACATGATATTTGAAATCCAAGGAGATGTTTACCTTCTCGTTGCTCTATTATAGGTCCTAACAAGTCTACGATAAGCCTCCAATCTTTAAGTATCTCGTAGGCAATACCATCAAATTCCTAGAAATAAAACTCAAAACAAGTTATCATCTACATTCGTTCTATATATCAAAGAGCAAGAAGATGAACATACTTGTCTTTGATTTTGTTGATCTTGTGGGCGTTGTTGTTGTGCTTCATTTCTCGCCGCATTCCTACGATTTGGATCGTTTAAAGGATTTGGCGTTTTAGGACGGTTTTGACGACGACTTCCTCCGGCTCCAATAGGTTCGTTGATGTCCGTTTCTGAAAGGTCAAAGAAATTGAAAGCTCAATAGAGAAACAATATATAAGAAAGGGGAAGAAGAAGAAGAAGAAGAAGAAAAGGGAGAAACCTCCGCCGGCTCCGATAGATTTGTTGATGTCCATTGCAAAAAGAGTCAAAGAAACTGAGAGCTCGAGAGAGGAAAAATACGAAAGGGGAAGAAGAAGAAAAACCCTAACAGACTCGCATACAAAAAGTGAGACCCCTTTTCTTTAATCCTTTTCTTCTTTGATATATGGATCAAGATGAGAACTAACTGATCATGAGAAGAGCAAAATCATCACAAAAACTCTAGTCTCTAGTCCGTACGTGGCTCAACCTAAAAGAGCTAAAATGCGCCGATGCAACACGATGCTCTTCATCAGTCGAATCTCTTTTCTTCGTTTCAATTTTGAATTAAAGTTGAAATTTTTTTTGTCTGTTAGTAAAGAAAAACCATAAATTTTCATAGAATTATTTTAGGGACGTTATGAAAAATAAATTTACTAACAGATTAATTAGTTAATGATCTTTTCTTTGTCGTCTGATTAGTGATCTAAACATGAAAAATCGTAAATCTAACTTCAATACCCCCTATTTAATTTTTATGCGCCAATTTTATAAAACAAATTGTAATTATCTCCTGACATTTACCCTTCTGCTTGCGTGTGAAATATGTTTAAACTTTAACTAGATATATAGTAATAACATTGTACTAGTGATAGGATATCTATATATATATATATATATATATGTATTTTTTATTTTTGTCAACGATTAGTTTTAATAGGAAAATTCAGTAGAGACATAAATATATCATAAATCTGATGTTTTTTATCGTTGCTTGGTGTATATGGTGACGACCAAAAAAGCTATAACAAATTAATTTAACATCAATATTACAGGACCACCACAAAACCTTAATCTTTGGGATAATATTGTTTATCGCTTAGATATCCCAGAGTCTTTTACTTTTTGTACGGTCAAAATCTTGATCTTCAGGATAATAAGCCATTGTTTATCCATTAATATATGATATTTTTTGTATCTTTAATGTAGAAATGTTCTTTTTCTGTCAACATTTATGAAGGTCATTTGTTGTTAAAAATGATTCTTAGTTGTAATACTATACTACATAACTATACATAACTGAATTATTCAATATAACTATACATAACTGAATTATTCAATAAATTTTCTTAATTCGTATGTATTCAGCCAATAGCATCTATAGATTGAAAGCAAAAAGAGTAATTCATAATTAATGATGATCATCATTAATTATGTATGAATAATTCGGTTATATATGATCATCATATCGGAAAAGAAAGAAAAAATCATAATTAATGATGATTTCCATTGAGAAATTAAAAAGTGTGTCGAAAAACAAGATTAATATATATAAGAACTGTGGTCTCTATCACTCTATGGGTCAATGTTACTTTGTAGCCGAGAAAGTAACTATGGATTGATTAGTGGGCAATTGTAGTCGAGAAAGTAAATACGACAAAGAAAAAGGTGTTGACAAATTAGAATTATGTAAGAAATGTGGTCACTGTTCATTACTATTTTTAGTATAACAGCTGTGGGTCATTGTTATATACAGTCGTCTAATTTGATTTTTCGCAGATTTGAATCCTCCATCTTGTCTTTTTCAATGAATTCTTTCGCGGTCTCGTTTTCCTGTCAGTTTTCTCCTTTCAACTTTCTATTTATGTTCATGATAAATTTACCGGGTTGGGCTTTTTTTCCACAAAACTTATCAATTTGGGACCGATTGTCGGGCCTTACGTGTTTAGGCATTATTTATGTCAGGAAAAGACGAAATCACCCTTCCAATGATTTCAAGTTTCTTTTTCGCCATCTCCATTTTCCTGCAACTTACATATAATCAAAAAGTATGAACTCAACATCTAATTCGAAAGGCAGATCGTCACTACAACCTCCGTGGTTTCGTCGTTCACCCCAAAAACTGAAATCTCCTCAGCTAATTATGTCTCCACTTTGTTGATGGAGAAATCTTATACTTTATGTCAAAAAAGTTCAGATCTATGCTCGTCATGTCTTCTTCTCGGCGAATCAGCGGTTATCCATTGTAGCTTCTCTTCAGATTCGGTCCCCGAGAAAAAATTGGCAATCCTCGGCGCCTCCAATGGAATTGGTCACCCTCTTGAGTTTGGGTTAATTAGTTTGAAAAAATTGAAATTCTTAATTGATTCCATGTCTAAAATTGGAGCCCTTGGGTTTAGTAGACACTCTTAGGGTTTAGTTTTTTTATGAAAAAAAAAAACAATTACTTGACTCCATTGATTTAATCGGAGATGGAGATGATGTTGAGAGTTGAAATCGCCGGAGGTTGTTGATCGAACCCAAAATTCAAGGGTAAATTGGTAATTACACGTCTTCAAGAAATGCCCAAATTTAAAGGCCTGATAGGTGTTCCATTTTTGAAAGTTTTGGGCCAAATAATGCCCAAATCAGCAATATTCCCTTATGTTCATTTCCAATTTCCGTCAGTTTTAATTAATACTCTTAGAAACAAATATATACTTATGGGGTTTTCTTTCCAATTAGTCAACACATGACTGCCTAATAATATTATATATATATATAAACCCAACTAAATTAAGTTGATTGATATATACGTACACAACTTTTGTAACTCCTTTACGATACATTTTATTCGTTTATGCATCAAATTATGTTACAAACTTACAAGTATACAACAACAACGAATCATGTGTTAATTACGTGTAACTAATTATTACGTACTTGATCTAATATGTCTTCCAGAGGAGGTTGCACTCTACACCCTCGTTGCCCGTCGTTGGAACCTTTTTTGAGAGAGATGCACTTATCACTTGATGGTCCCGGCCGAGTGTGATAGTGAGGTGTTTCGTGGTAGTTCTACATGATTTCAGGCCGGCCGTTGTTCTATAATGTTTTTGTTTTTTCCATTAACGTATTTGAATATATATATATATATATATATATATATATATTATATATATATATATATATATATATGTGCCTTTTTTCCCATAACTTATGGTTTTGGACTGAACTCGGAGCCCTAAACAACTTCAAGGCTTAAAGCCAACTTCGGTCGGACTGACATTTAGCATTCAAAAATTTCTAGGCTAAACCGGTTTTAGAACCAAATTACAAGTCTTGTTATATAGATTGACACGTGAAAAACATCTATTTTAAAAAGCAAATAGAAAAACATGTGGGTTGCTGTTATTTTTTGGGCGTGGGTTCATTGAAAAAGACAAGATGGAAAGGTGGTATCATTTGCTGTTGTTGTGGAACACATTTGAAAGTGGTATCATTAGATTTTTCCACTTTCCTGATACCATTTTCAATGATACCACTTTCAAACTTTCAAATTATACCATTTGCTGGGGAAAAAACAAATTGCTGTTGTTTTAAAGTATAGGAAAGTGGTATCATTTGATTTTTCCACAAGTCATAAAGCGGTATTTTGGTTTGGTGCCTATATCAACAAATCTAACGAAGACCCACAAAACAATAGCTATAATCTCAGGTATTCAAAAATTGACACATGTGCACGTATATTCTTGCCGAGATAAATAGGTCATAGGTGCATGAGTCTACGACATTGACTATCTTGGTTTGAATCGGTGGTATATGTGCACATTACACGTCAATATGATCAACAAACTGATTTAAAGGTTTTGTCAGTTAGTATTTGGCATTTTCCTTCTTCTATATATATTGTATTGAACAATAAGTTTAAAAGATTTTAAATATATTAAGTTTTCTTTATCTCTCAGTTTTTTGGACGAATTGTGCAAAGGAAATCGAATAAAGAACGAGAAGTCTTAAAGAGATTTTAAAACAGAGAAAATTGTATTTATTGATTTGGAACGAATGTAAATGTCTCACACTCACTTTATTGAGTTATTCATAGATAGAGACATTTAGACAACACGCAGTGGGAGATCTTTCTGTCGGGTGTATGTATTTTAAAATAGAGAAATATTGTAAAATGTTGTCACTCTCTTTACATGTGAGTGTAAGTTTACATGTGAATGTAAGTATTAAAAAAATTACTTATCTCTATCTCTCTCTCTTTTCTCTCTTTCTTTTCTTTATTTCTTTAATTATAATAATAAAAAATTATTTACACTCACGCTCCCACTTATCCCCTTGTGTATGCTCTTATAGTCACACAATTTTAATACATTTTTTTTTTTAAAAAACATACATCACACACTTCAATTTTTTTTTTTTTATGTGATAGAGTTTCACACTTCAAATTTACACAAACACGTTGGCAGAAAAAAAAAAATTTAACCATGTCATCAATATTACGTCAGTATCTCATGGCTTTCAAACAAACTAATTTTGGATTTGTAAAACATTAGAACAACATTATGAATTAAAAACTTATAAAACAAAGAAAAAAAAAAGATAACTAAACCATTCATCTTCTTTTCATATTATATTTACGACTAATTCATCATTTAACTTTTTTTTCTTCATTGTATAGAATCTACAATCGCAAGTAAACCTTTTTTTGATTATTACACCTTTGTTATTTAGCAATATTAGGTAGGTTTGATTTAGGATTTGGTAAAAAAACTGTAAGGTTTAGTTTTGGAAATTGAAATTCTATAAATTTTTATTTTGTAGGAATCAAAACTCTTTCGAAAAAAATCGTCTCTAGCATCTGTAAACCCTAGGTACGGCTGTCTTGCGAACATCAACATTTAATGTGACGTTGAAGAAGAAGTCATCATTTCCATCTCATGAATGTTGATTGTTGATGTTGTATAAAAAGGCGCGTTCGTTACACACGTCACACGCAATATTAATGCAAAACACTAATATGATTTTTTTTTATAATTTGTTAATATGATTTTTCTTTATTTCTTTGAGTTTTGATAAAAACACTATCCCGTCCTATAGTGTTTTGATTTTTTCGCATACCAATATAGCCGTGAGGGGGCGTGGATAAAACCTAGACAATATTATTGTTCTAAAGATAGGCGCGCGGCAAAACTCACCGGTCTCGTGAAAGATCAATACGCGGTAAGTTCCGGATAGCATCTATCAGAGCCGTATCATGGAGATCAGTATTCACTTGTCAGAACCTTCCAGCAATCGGACCTTTATCCAGTTATCAGAAACCAACAAGACATTTAATGGATTCTACGAAGAGACGTCTGCATTATTAGCAACATGCATAACATACTCTTCCGACGAAGACGTTCTGATCTCTTTACTACGCCAAAAGCATCCCATGTTCGACAGCCCAAATCGTCCTTGGAAATCTTGTACAACTAATACTTGATTTCACTTATCTCAAGTAAAATAGTTTAATTTTCTTCCGAAAATAATGGAAATTAAGGAAAGTAATTTTCTGATAATGAGAATGATTCAGATTCATCAAGCTCAAA